GAACTGGTAGAAACGGTTCTCTAGTCTAACATTTATGTTCATTTTACTCACAAGAGATGGCAGGGAATGCTATATCTTTCCCAGCTTGTTTCTCACATTGCAATTAAAAACAAAATGCTTCTTTTGCCCCAGCCATATCAATCTGGATTTCAAGAATGGTTGATCATAAATGTGCTACTTGTGAATAGTAGCTTAGTCAATGATCTTATCTACTTAGGTTTGCTAGTAAACGTTAGACTGATAGCTCTGTGCTGATATTGATTAGCTGGATTTGGCTCATCAATGAGCTGATTTGAGATCAGCTTCCGTTTGTGCAAGGATATCAACTAAGCAGATGTGTTTGTTTTCGCAACATTTTGTCCACTTGCATTGAAAACATCTTATTTTATTTATATTAGTTGGATTTTGTACATTTGGTGTTGATACTTTAAGAGATACATATAGTTCTAACCATCCCTCTCACTTCATTAAAATAGATAAAACCGTTAACAGGATAGAAAATCAAATTAAAGTTAAATATATTTTAATTTTGGGTGAAACAAGTATTGAGCTTTTTAGAAAATTCAATCGATGTTCTGCCAGGGCCATTTGAGTCGATTTGCCTGGAGTGTTATTAAGGGAAGTTTATTGTTGCTTTGTTTTGAAGGAGATTATCGAAGTGTTTGAAGAGCTACTTAGGAACCAGAAACCAGCCCCCGTCTGACTCACATCCCTGCACTCGACAAACTGATAAAAACCTCTCGGATACGCCACAGATTTGCTCATTGCAAGTCACTACCAATTAACGCAACAGTCGGTTAACAAATATAATCCTATTTTTATTCAAAAGAACTCCACATGTCCCAATCTGCATACTATCTGTGCTAAATAGTGTTTGAAACAAGTTTTATATATGATTAGTAGAGAATATTTAGAAGTATACTATTGGTTCTTGAATGGTCATTATTAAAACTGATAAAATCATCATTTTTGTCTTTCGTTTCAAACATATATGCTTCAAACGTACTGCTATCCCACAACTAGGGTAGGGCGATGTCAAGCAATTTGGCATCATGTCCAATGTGAAACGTGGGTGAGGGTATGGGGGTTAAATGTTAGCCTACCATATCATATTATGAAGTCATTTGCCAACTTAGAAATGTTAACACATTCAACTTTTGTCCATTGGCAAACACAGATGGACAATGCCCCAACTACAAGGTGTATAAACAGTGTTTCCCCTAGGATCATGGCCTTGGGGGGGGGGGGGTTGTGGTGTTATGTGTGGTGCGGCAAAACACTCACACAAACACTTAATAGTGTTTATATGTTTCTTTTAATTGCAGTATACCAATATATTATAATGTCTGAACAATTACTGTATAATAACTAAACAACTGTACACTGAACTAAACACTAAACATCAGATTTATTTTAATATGTTAATTATTCACAAAGTGTGCAGCTTTTGTCACTGCAGTGCATCTTTCTGGGCTTCTGAAAGAACATTTCCAGAGCATCTTGGTATGGATAGTCTGAAACTTCTGGCCCATTTATTGAGATCCGCATGCAGGCTGCAAGATGGTCCCCTTGCAGCCTATTGCGAATGTCTGTTTTGACCTGTAAATACATTAACTGTTAGGCTTTAAAAGTGATAACTGATAGTAACAACAGTAAAAATCAACTTAACATAGTGATAGTTTAAAGCAGGAAATGCCATTGTATAACTAACTAGCTAGCTATTAATTAAGCAATTTATTTATAAATTTGTTCATTCATGCTTGTGTGTATTTACTTACTTACCAAGATCAGTCTTGTACAGCCAGGGGGAGTATTTCCTCTCTGACAGCCAAGCTGGGTCAAAACCTGTCGTTCTGTGGTGGCTAGACTTTTGCTGCTTGTCAGGGGCAAGACATGCAGCACTTGGGCTCTTTTCTGTTCTGCTCGCAGCAGAACACGTGTTGTCCTCGTCACCACCTTGGGAGCGTTTAAAGCGCGGTCTCTGTCCGCTGGTGTGTGTGTGCGTGCGCATCGGAGCGGAACTCCGCCGTGCGCGATACGGAGGACAATTGTCAACGCGCAAACGTTGAGACAGAAATTACATGCCATCGTATAAATAACATAATGCTATTTAGTTTAATAAAAGAAAAAAGCAAAGACCTGTTATATATAAATTACTTCTGTCGTTATTCGACGAAAATAAAATAAAATTAACTTGACCTTCAAGGGGGGCGGGGGGTGCCGTTGGGGGGGCGGGGCGCCACCCTAATATAATGGTAAGGGAAACACTGATAAAAATATATCATGGCACATTGTATCACAACACAAAATTGTCACAATACATGTCGTGGAGCGACGTGAAGTGTATTTTTAAAACTGATTGTGATTCTAGTCACTTCTGCAAGTTCTTCACCTTGTCTTCTTGTTTTATGTAAAATTTACTAGTAGACAAATGTCCTTTACTCACAATGAGAAGTATAATGAAATTAATTCTCTCCAAGTCTCCATCACTTAAAGTAAGAAAGATGACTTTATGCAAACAATAACATTGCCCCCTAGTGGATGGATGGTATAAAATGCTCTCATACAAACCAATCTAGACCCTAGCCTTCTCAGCGTTTCGGTCTCAAAACTTTTTAAAATCCCTTTTTTTCATCCTAACATATTTTTCCCACCATAATGTCCCTTTAGAGGTTCCATAATAAATTTAGCAAAATGTTCAATATATGAAGAATGTATATTTGGGAATATAGATGCAAAGCGGACAGTCCTTTTAAAATTTTACTCAAAGGACCAACAGTTAAATTACATGGAGTATATACAGTATTAAAATGTTTATACAAGAATATATAATTGTTTGAATGTGAACTTGTGACCTGAGATGTTATCCTGGCTACATTCAGATATTGTTTTAGAGGATAATTCACTCATATCTATTACTATTTGTCATTTCAGATGTGAGTTGGGCATCAGAAGCAGCTGCACGCAAGTGTGAGCCCCACCTCTGGGTTTATGGGTCAGTGTTCATGGCTCCATTGCTCTCATAACCAGCTGCTCTGGGGATCGCCAACAAATGTGACACAACCTGAATGATCAACAGTTTAGTAGTATAATACCTTGTAATATTAGAATGGATTTCTTGATTTCAGCTCCAAGAGTCCAGTTATTTTTAACATTTATAAGCTTTTCGCAACTCACTCCACGACTTTCGGGTACTCTGATGTCATGTGCTTACTGATTAGGGCAGATACTTAGATTCAAATGATCAAAAACTTGGAAATGGTCTGAAATTCTCCAAAAGAGTAAAACACAACGTATTAACTCATTTTAAAGAAATAAACTAAATAAAACAGGAAGAGTTTATTTAATCTTGCTGCACCTTTTTGATTTTCTTCCTTCTGTCATGATGTCATTGTGAGATACTGATCTGGATGAGGTTGAGACAACCTTCAAATGCATTATCACATGCAGACACCCACACAAATATACAAAATCCTTTCCATTGGCTTTGCATATTCAAATGCATGCATGTGACTCCTGCGGCTTCAATGAAGACAAACTCTTTAAGGCCTCTGTGTTTCCCTTTGAGGTTTAATCTACGCGTAATTATCTCTTGTGTTCAGAGCTCTGCTTCTGTTTATTCCTGCACTTCTCATTTTACATTGTGTTCTTTTTTATCCTCTACAGAATATTGCTTATAATGTGCACAAGTATTGTTTTTATTGCTTTAGTGCTCTATTGGTTTGCTATTAAGCATTTATGGCTTAAAAAATTCAGTCTTTAAAGTTTCATTCAGTATGTTTTCCGAAGCTTATAGCAAAGGCTGCTTTTTCCCTTTATACTGTGTGCCCTACTTGTTGCCGAAGTGGTTCTAATAATTATTAACACGCTCTGCTCCACCTCCATTGATTCATTGCTCAAATTTTCAACACTGACTTCAAAGACTTCAAAGAAGGCTGTATTTTTTTTTTCTCTGAGGGATCAGGAGACCAGAAAAAAATTGCACACGAACAGACCACTTTTTGAGTTCTTGTGTTCTCAATCGCTGTGTCCACATCATATTTTTCAATCCCTGTGCGGTTTTAAAGTGTTATGGCAAGTCTTTGAAGCCATTCCTCTCAGTGATATTTTTTTTTAATCTGGAACACTTAAAGGAACAGTTCATCCAATATGTAGACATTTGCTCATCCTCATGTGGTTTAATCCTTTTTTGTGTTTAATCCTTCTCTGGAACATTTACTAAAATGACTCAAATCTGGGGTAAGGCAGCCGTTGCTTCCTGTTAATAAAGACAAAAACATATCTTGAGATATTTCTTAAGAATAATATTTCTACATTTTTTAATCACTCCAGTTCTGAATCACTCATCTGGATCTCATTGAAATGGAAAAACAATCAATTTCGTGACGTAAACCAATAACCACTGGCTTCTCCAGTTGAGAATGGAGGTTACAATTCCAGGTTTGCTGAAGAAATACTTCAAGGTAGAGTATGTTCATTTTAGTGCTATACAATATCAAGAAAATACTTTTAAACATTGACATCCACAAAAAAACATCCGGACACTGCCTACTCCCATTGGGCCACTATGAGGCTTTTTTTTGGAGCTGGAATGGAGGCTGTAAATAATATTTTTTTAGCGTAAGTAACTGAGCAGAACAAACTAATTAGTAACTGTAACTAGATAATATTTTTCAGTAATTTTTACTTTTTGCTTCAGTGAAGCAGGCAGAGATTTGGGAAGGAACGACGGGTTTGGGATTGTACAACACATTGTCCACTATACCACAAATCTTAAATGTACTTTTACATATTGGTCCTTTGTGCAAATATTAAAATTCTGTGAATAATGGTAATTTTTTAAATCACAGATACATTTCATACATATACATATACATTTCTCTTTCTTTTCTCTTCTCTTTTTTTTAAACATTTAAGCATTTGGCAGACGTTTTTATCCAAAGCGACTTACATTTGAATGAATGAACCAATTTTTTATTTTTTTTTTATTTGTCAGTTCTTGCTTTCCCTGGGATTTGAACCAACACAATTATGTCGTTGGTGCAATGCTCTACCAACTGAGCCACAGGAAAGCAACAAACACAGTAAATACAAAACGTGTTACAATACAATGCAACATGTGTTCTCCAGATGTGCCTGTAGATGTTTCGGTCTGTCCCCTATGTTTCTCCGCTTGCTACCTTCATCATTTTCGACGGATTGTTATGTCCACGAGGCCTTCAGATGTGAGATTAAAGCATCCCTTTTGACTACCGTCTGGTTAGGTTTTCATGCGGGGAGCAAATTGTTGAGCTGTGTTGTGTTTTACAAGCTCTCTGGAAAGGTTAGGTTGTGGATTTAAGAAAACCAGGATGTTAGTATGTATGTGTGGCAGGTTGCCTGGTTGTGAGTGGGTGTGCCTGCTGTGTCAGGCAGATTTTCCTCTAAGTGTGAACCGAATTAAACGAGAGAACAAGAGTGAGAATTCTTGCCAGGATTGTGACTGATCATCCTTAGGACCTTAATATATCCACTGTGTCTGAATAGTGATTAAGGAAATACAGATAGAAAGAGCAGAAAGAACAAGATAAGTACTCAGATGAAAATGGTCTTTTAAAAAATGTTTTCAAAAAGCGAACATATTTCTGTTTCGTTCACTTGGGGAAGGTTGAATTCTGGGGGCAGCTGGTGGAAGTGTGGTGTCCATCTGCTGTCTCCAGTCGTCCTGACTCCTCTCCGCACGACCTGTTGTTGCTGCCAGTCAGAAGAAATGTATGGCCTCCACCCAGGCTGCAGAGAAGAGAGTGATGGGGTGCTTTGAGAGAAGTGAGAAAGTGAACAATTGGTGGTGAGAAGATTTGGTAGTGTTTCTCGGGACACTCATTTCAACTGATTTGCACACTATTCAAAATGACTCACAGGCTGCAAGTCCGGCTTTATCTGATAATGGTGGAGTTAAAGGTATCTATTTTTTCAAAACTAGTAATATAACCATCTAAAGGAAAAAAGAATTCATACAGGAAGTGACAACTTCTAAGTTTTCCTCACAGGAAGTGAGAAAACTGCAATTCATCGACTGGCCACTAGAGGCTGATGTTAGAAGTGAGTAGTAGTAGGGGTGTACTAATAAAGTGGCAGAGTATATCACAAGATAAAATTCTGTTATCGTGGAGCTAATGGGAGATAACGTCTGGGAGCTAAAGTATATTTGATTCTTGGAGCGATTGGGATTCTAGTCACTTCTGAAACTTCTTCACCTTGTCTTCTTGTTTTATGTAATAGGAGGAAATGATCCTTTACTCACATTTCGAACAAGAAAGATTAGCTTAAGATTAAAATGAGCTCTCTCCTTTGCTTAGAGTAAAAAAGATGACTTAATGCAAACATTAACACTGCGCCCTAGTGGCTGGATATCAAACTAGACCCTAGCTTTGTGGTCTCAAATTACAATATATGGATTCTATTGTGAGCAGAGTGTAACGTTACACCCCTAGTAGAATAAAAAAACATGAATAAAGCCTGGTTTTTATTTTATTTTACTACTTATTCATTCATTCATTCATTCATTTTCCTACCCGTTTATTCCTGTTTTTGGGGTCACGGGGTCTGCCGGTACCTATCTCCAGCGAGAGGCGGAAGTACACCCTGGACAGGTCGTTAGTCCATCGCAGTATTTTATTACTCATTGTTTTTTTTAATTATTTTAAGCCATAAATATCAGAGAAATTTGCTCTGCCCATTCCGCACAATTACGAGGATCTAGTAGTGATGCACGTCTGAGTGTAGACTGTGATTTGTTTAATTTGAGCCGTTGTTTTATATGGGCTTAGGATAAAGCTACTTAAAGATTGGTATCCTGAAAGGTCTACTATACAAACCTATTGGGTACATTTTTTTACTATAGTTTTTCTCTGGCTTTTAAGTTTCTTGGCTTCTAATCTCAATTGTTTTGTAGTAAGTTCTACTTTTAAATTTCTACTTTTTTGTCTGTTGGGTGAGATGCCAAGGTGTGAACCCTGGGGAAACCCCATGAATGGACTGAGATGAACAAAACCAGGAAACTCACCAGCTGTAGCCACACAGTGTGTGGTGTAAGCCGTAAAGAATCAATGGCCTGTGTTTCCTTTAATGGATTCTGCCAAACGTAGAGCAGGGTCACTGGCATCTACTGACCTGATCCGTGGATAAACAAACCTGAGATTAATAATAGTCTCCTTGGGAGGGAACCATTGTGGTGAAAACTATTTTACTTTGGTATAGTTCTTTTGTTTTTGTTTTATTTATATTCGTTTATTTTTTAACATGAAAAGTCTCTTTGATACTTTGGCACCTTTCTTGTTTAACCCAAACAGTTCAATGAGGTGGAAACTATGGTGTTTTCACACTTCCTTGTTAGTGCAGGATTAATTACCTGAGATCCTGTAGAGTTCCAGCTGTCTGTCAGATCCTCCAGGATCATGAGGGGTCATAGAAAGAATCATACAGAAAGCTGAAAATCTGCTGATCAGCCACTTCTGCACGAGAGAAAGTCAATGTAACTGTTCCCAAGAGGAAAAGAATTGACAGGAGAAAAGCAGACACGCTGTTTCAAGATGAAATTGTATAGAGTAAAATGGAAAAATAAAAATCCATGTAGCAGTGCCAACTACCAGCTCTCACGCATTTATAAAAATGATTTTAAACTTGACAGTTGACATATAAATGTCATTTTAAATTATTTTTATGAAATATAGTTCATTTGTGCACACTTAGGCTAAGATTCTGGTGATATGATATCAAACAATACATTTCAAATGGCGTAGTCTAAGCAATATTTTGTGATTTTTCTTATCATAAGTGTTTAATTTTCTGGAAACTTCCAGTAAAAAACAACACAAAGTCCAAACCATGAAAAAGTACACTTTTATTTGAAGAGAGCACAATGAGTAGTTTTGCCTTAGTCCTTTTAACATGTGTGTCTGAACAAAAACAACATTTGATAGGAGCTTTTAGGCAGAGTAAATGTATAAAGCTTGTGCTAATATACTGAAAACAGCTTTTGGTACCAATTGTAACATACTTTTTCAATGGTTTAATCTGATCTGAATTATTACATATAATTATATAAGCTTTATAATTTGTATATATCGATTTTTGAAAATCAAATATTGCAATACTTGTGCGTATCAATTTTTTTTTTTTTACGACCCTAGTGCAAACAATTATTCAACAGCGTCTCCTGACAGACAGCAAGTTAGCAGTAAAGTAAGGGTGAGACTGGGAAAGGAATGAATGTGGGATGTCTAAAATATGCAACGACTGCACTTTCTTGAGCATCTGAAGAAGAGTGATAAAACAGGCTCTGACATGAGAAAGAGAGAGCGAGGGAGCAAGGAATGCTGGCAAACCTTGTGAGAGCTACACAACATTTGTCATGACATTTGGTCAATCTCTCTCGATTCCCCCCTTCTTTCGCCCTCTCCATCTTGCTGTCTACTTACGTAAGCAGTCAGTGGTGAACACACCAGAGCAGGGAGATGCCACGGGAAGCTTTTGGGAACAGTTGCACGGTTGGAACTGTTGTGCTCTGCTCCATGCCCATTGTAGTCGAATGACTAGGGGAGTGGCCATAAATAGAAGGCAATATCTGGGGATTCCGATAATTGGTTTGACATTTATCAAAATCGGTAATGACAAGGATAAACTATAAAAAAAATCGATTTTCTCCACAATTTTCTCCAGTTTTAGTAATGGGTTGGACAGTTCTTACGCCAATTTTGCTTACGTTTTACAATATCGTGAGATGTTTTTTTGTACTTTATGCATGCAAATGACATGACTGTTCGCAGATATCTTCACTACGACCACGAGATGTGTTTTTTGAGGTGGTTGTCTAAAAAATGAAAACCAACAAGTTGCCAGCTTAAAGATATTTGCACATCCAGTTATTAGCCAATAGGAGGCTTGTGCCTGTTTGCTTCGATGACAAAGCCCCGATCATCAAACCCCCGTTTTTGCGTGATTGGGAGAGATACTGTCCACTGTCGAATTTTCATAGTCTCACTTTTTGCAACAGCCACCCCATATTTATATTTTCACTTGGAAAACCCTAGAGTGAATTTAAACCGGTTTTGTTGAGGATTCTCGTCAACTGTCTGTCTGTTGTCTGTCCTCAGCCAGTAATCAACAGCCATCAAGTCATTTTCGTTTTGCAAAAGGTTGCAACCCCCCGTCGGGGAATCGAACCCCAGTCTTCCCCGTGACAGGCGGAGACACTGTCCATTATACTAACGAGGAAACAACTTACAAAACTGTGTTATCGAGTGCAGCCCAATCTTACATAGTGTCATTCACTGCAACGGCAATGCCTGGTTTGTTTTTGAACTTCAAAAGTGAATGTAAAATGGATTCTTCTGTTGGGGAATCGAACCCCCGTTTTCCGTGTGACTTGCGTAGATACTGTCCACTATGTCAACAAAGAAAAAATATTATAAGAGAGTGTCATATAGCTAAATTAGACATTTTTTTTTTTAGTTTAGTTCACTTTTTTAATATTTTTACAACCCGAATGAGGGGAATTGCAAGTTTTCTGACTCAAATTGCCAATTGTAATTTACTTTTCACATTTGCAAATGTGAAAGTCCACCCATCATGAAATCTAGAAATTGAGCAAAACATGGCTTTACCTTTTAAATCCTCACCGATATTGGTAAAATGTTTAGATTTGTTAAAATATTTAACTAAATTGTTAAACTAGTGAAACTTCTGAATGCTCCAGGATCGATTCTTGCGTATCAATTCCACTGACTCTATACAATCAGGCTTTATCTGCAGAAGACTCTAATACCTGCTCTAGTTTTTTCTTTTTTTGGCGTTGATGTGGGCATTTCTACTTTAGGCTGAGAGAATAATCATTGGGTATTGTCTAAACCAATTGGTTAGCAACACTGTCTCTCAACGGAGAGAAGTGAAATATAAGCGTCACATTGCAGCTCTTGGCGGTTGGCAAATCGTGATTGGTACTCAATTTCGACGTATCATGCAGTCTTATCCTGAATGCATTATTCAAAATCAACCACTCAACTTCTAAAACTGACTAACTATTCCCAACATCTT